GACATGTCGAAGTACCTCCGTCTCACCATTCTGGTTTCTCAGCGGTATTTTAGCTGCACTTCTTCCAAGACAGATTTGCTTGTTCTTTTGGCAGTCCGTGATACTTTCACACTCTTGTTTGCATCACGCTAATACAAACGGGCCGCTTCTTCTTGAGTCTTCCTTACTCAGCTTTCACATGTTGATGAGGCTGAAAATACTATGGATTGGGCCAGGCACCCTTAGTCCTCAAAGTAACATCCTTGGTCTTCATCATTTGAAAGAGGTCTTGTGCAGCAGATTTGCCTAATGCAATATACCATTTGATTTCATCATTGCTGCTTCCTTGATAATTGTTTGTGGATCAAGTTTGTGGATAATTGTTTGTGGATAATTTGTTGTGGATCAAAATGAAATCCTTAACAACTTCCATAGTTATCTGTCATGGTGCTGCCTATTGGCCGAGTGAATATTTTGTTTTCCTTACATTGAGTGATCATCTTTATTGAAGCCTGCAGTCTTTGATCTTCATCAGAAAGCGCTTCAATTCCTCCTCACTTTCAGCAAGCAACATGGTGCCACCTACATGCCACATGCTGGGAGTGTGCCTTCCTCCGAAACCAGATGTAGCGGGAGTTCTTCATAGAATCCAGCTCCTCGGTGATTTGCTCTGCATACAAACTGAGCAAGTATTTAATAATAGCCCTGATGCACACATTTCCAGACTTTCAAACCCACAGTCGTCCCTAGTTCAGTTTCTAGGATGGCCTCTTGGTCCGTGTACAGGTTCTGCAGGAGCACAATTAAGTGCACTGGTATTCCTGTTACCCATAGTTTGTTATGGTCCACACAGTTGAGTGCCTTTCAGAGTCAAATGACACAGTAAACACCTTTCTGGTATTCTCTGCTTTGAGTCAAGATCTATCTGGTATCAGCAAGGATATGCCTTGCACATCTTCTGGATCCACCTTGAATTTCTGGCAGCTCCCCATTGAGGTACTGCTGTAACCGCTATTTAATTATCTTCAGCAAGATTTTATTTGCATGTGATAGTGACGAGATTGTTTGATAATTTCTGCATTCCGTTGGGTCACTTTTCTTTGGGATGGGCACACATAGGGATCTCTTCCAATCGGTTGACAGGGAGCTGTCCTCCAGGTTTCTTGGCATAGACAAGGGAGTGCTTCAAGTGCTGCCTCAGTTTGGTGCATCGTTCGTTGGTATAGATCAATTAATTCCTGTTGGTTTGTTTTTCGTGTTCATGGGCTAGGCTTTCCATAGTAAGTTTCCCTGTGTTGTTGAGCTGGGACGGACTGTTAAAAGCTGCCATTGTAATTATTTTTATGTACTTTCTCATGAATATATCCATGTTCCAAGAGATGACTTGGCTGATGTCCTACTAGTAAATCTTACCCGGTACTCTGGCAGCCAGCTGAAAGGAAACTGAGGAACTATCACACCCAAGCGTAAAGCCCTGGCATGCCTATCATTTACTTTATCCTTGGCCTCTTTGTCAAGGGTGCATGTTGCCACCCATTCCAAAGCCTGTCCTTAACATCCTCAGACAGTAATTCCCTCTTCTCTGGGGTAAAGCCACAGCAAAGAAGAAAGGCCATATGTCAAGCTCTAACAAAAAATTTTATGAGCCTTACCTGTGCCTCACTTCCCGTGGTACCAAGATTGGAATTAACCTTGTATTTCCTCATAGCCAATCAAAACCTTAGCATGTATGGATGCAAGCCAATTACCTCCCGTCCATCTACTTCTCCAGATTCTACCCTATCCTAGTAATGATTTATTTCAGTGATGAATGCATGTTTCCTACCTGCCTCCCCTCCCATCCGCCCCACTGTTTTCTCCCCACTGGAGGAGTCCTTGTAGTTATATCAGGTGTGCACTGGACTGCTAAACCCAGGGTTGCTGGTTAAAACCCACCAGTATTCCTTAGGAGAAAAACTTACAGTAAAATAACCGTGAACCATAGGGTGGCTACGAGTCAGAATAATTAATTCAATGACAGTGGATTTGGTATTTTATTCTTTAATTGGCTGGCTACATTTTACTTTTTAGACCAGAAAGCTTCTAAAAGATGGTGCTAGAGAACAGAAAATATTTTCCTTACAAAGGCAGTCTAAGGGAAAAATCTTAGATAGGCAGTCTTAGAAAGGGAGAGTCCAACTTTTACCAAACTACAAATCATTACCAGCAAAGAACCTAACATTCACAATTCGGGACTGGTTCTGAAACAGCAGGGTTAAGTCTGTGAGCATCCACAGTATCAGAAGTCAAAGCCTATAGGTTGCTAACACTGTCTCCTTTAATTCTGTGATTTCTATCCACCAAATCAGTCTCTTCGATAAACAATTAATTTTATAATAGACCTCAAAAACAATGCTTGTACATTGCAAATGCAAATGTATTCTTACTGGGTGGTGTGTTGGGGGTGGAGTTTGTTTCAACAATGGGTAGGGGGGAAAGCCCAGTTTCATAAACGTAATTTATACCTACAACCAAAAACCAGTCACTGCCATTGAGTGAATTGTTTCATAGCGACCACAAGGGGGAGGAATACAGAATAGAGTGCCCAGCCTTTCAGAAACAGGCTGCCTAAGTCCTACGAGCTATGGTTCCCATTTAGTGCTGTGAGACGTGCTTTACGTAGTTATCTCCTTTTAGTCCCTGCTCCAAATAAGGAAATAAATCAGAAAATAAAAATCATATAAAAATTATATTGTAGACAATCAGAGCATCACACTGATTGTTCACAATATACTTTCAAAAATTAAACTGTCTCTAATTATATCTTGTTGGACTGATTGTTCACAATATACTTTCAAAAATTAAACTGTCTCTAATTATATCTTGTTGGACGAGTCGCTTCACTTACAACAATCTACCGTTCAGCATCCAACTGATATAACAAGTACATTTTTAAATTCAAATGCTCTCAGAGAACTAAGTCTTATGAATAATTTCTATCAGTATTTACGGCTACCAGATAATGAGCTTGCTTTCCTTTTTGCTAACCAGGCTGAAAATATCAATTTTGTAGGGGTGAAAGGTGAGATGGAGTTATAATCTGTTGGTAGTTTTAGCAGACGTGTGTCCGTCGAGAGGCATAAAGCATCTAGTACTGGCCTTAAAAGAGCAAGTGAAAAGTGGGGTGGAACTAAGCTGCCTAAGATGATGTGGTGGGTGGTGGGTGGAGGGGGTGGTGGTGTTAAAACAAAACAAAAAAAACCCTAAGTTCCCTCACCTCCACCCTTTACCTGGGGATCAGGTCACTGTAAACCCAAAGAGTAAAAAAAAATTACGGGTTCAATTTGCAGATAAATTACTATTCTCCAAATTGTGCAATACCTAAAGAAATTTTATATGTTTGCATATAATCATGTACCATTTCATAATTTTGTCTACCCAGGATGAATATGATTTCCTTAACAGATTTTTTTTTTCTAAATCATTTTATTAGGGGCTCTTATGACTACATTTACTTTTTCAAAGCAAATTTCTCTAAGCTGTTATAAGAGGGTCACTATGGGTCAGAACTAACAACCCTTCCCTGGAAAATTCTGCATTTTTCTTTCTTATAGTATCTTTATTATTTTAACTTCATCTCCATAAAGCCCTGTCTTAGAATTCCATTAAATGGATTGTTCATTCCTTGGATATGACCTCCCATGTCCATTTGTGTGTGTGTGTGATCCAAGTGGGTTTTTATAAAGGATAGAGAAGTTTCAGGATTTACAGTTAACTGAACACGGGGCTTCAACCCCACATGCGGCAACCTGAGGTGGGAGGGGGAGGGAGGGAGGGGGAGGGAAAGAGAGAGAGAGAGACTGAGAGACAGAGACACCGAGATGCAGCAAGGTCAAGTGGATGGCAGAGGAGCAGCGGGAAAGCTCCCATGTCCATTTTTAACCCTATCGTGCCATTATTGTTAACAATTCTTCTCCTCCTCCTTCAGGGCTTCTGTTGCATCTTCTCAATTGTCCTCTGAGTTTTGGGATAGTTTATCAAGCTACTCTCCCAATTCATCAGGTTGGATCTATCAGGTACCCATGCTATGTACAACTACTATGGAGGTGCTTTTAATTTAGAAACTGTGCCTTGTCTTTATAAGAACTTCCTATTATTTTCAGATGGATTTTTTTTTTTAATGCAGGAATTTTTATTTTTTATTTATTTTTAGTTTTGGCGTCAAGGGACTCAAATTGTGTTCCTTGTACACGTTCTTTGAGTATGGAGAACAAAAAGAAGTCTGAAAGGGCAAGATGTGGCTGTAGGGTTTCCCAATGAAATTATCTGAAGATAGCCATTGCTATCCTACCCTTGGAAAAAACGAGTAGGTACACTGCGATGCAGGAAAATTCCTGGGCACAACTCTCCAGGCCTTTCTCTCACCAATGCAGTTGTTCGTTCTCTTAAAGTCTTTTCACGGTAAGTCTCCATGATTGTCTGTGATTGTACAAGATCACCCTTTGGGGATCCAAATAAGCAGTTGCCATGACCTTCTGAGAAACCACTATTTTTGTTGGACTTTTTCTTTTTAGAGACTCGCCTGAGACAACGGGGGTCCCTGGCGGTGTAGTGAGAATGCATAGGGCCACTAACTGCGAAGTCACCAGTTAAAAACCAACTCGATGGCAGTGCAGCGTTTAGTGAAACAACGACAAGTGAATCATGCAGAACTGTTTGTAGCCAGCCAGCCATCGAAGAGACACACTTAAACCACTTTTGTCCGGAATGAGCCCATGTATATATGAACTGGAACCCTAATAGTAATACTTCTTTACTTCCTCGTGTAAAAATAAACTGAAATTCTTCTCCGATTGCGGTCATTATTTCTCCTTTATAGATTTGGTATAAAACCACTGCTTGGCTTTAGAGTTTAGATTCAATGCACATATTCTCATTAGGAATCAGAATGAAATATTGAAGAGTTACCTTAGGGATTGGTAAGTCAGGAATGTCGGTCGGTAGTTGGGGAGTAGAATAAAGGACACTCTTTAGTAGCATTATTTATATTTTTTACATTTTTACTGAAAGGTCCAAAAATACATGTGGTCAATAGGGCTACTTTCATTTGCAAATGAAATATTGAGAAACATAAAGATTTCCACTTTTCAATCACGACGGTTAATTATTGTTATTCCGAGTTCTGCGGTTCTGGAATTTTCCTTCCATTATATAGGAACATATTGGGGGAAGCTTGATTGAAAACATTTTAAAATTAAAACAAAAGTAACCAAAAAAACTAGAATCAACATAATCAGGTTGTCTTGGACTTAAGGGCTTCTGAATTCCGTCCTTGGAGGAGGTTTGGATCTTCCCAAGGCCTGGGCCCTCGAATATTCGTCCAGTCACCAAAAGTGGAGTCCTTTATTTTCTATAAAACCACAAAAATTATTGATATTAGTGCAAGAACGCTGTGGCTTTGATCCAAACATCACCGAGTAAATGAATAAGTAAGTGAATGGAAAGGCTCCAGTGAGTCCTCAGATTATAATTTAGTAAATAAATTAGCTATAGAATAAGCATAGGCATAAAAATATCATATAGCTTCGGATTTGAAACTTTTGGGGCCTGCTATTGATATGTGTGTCATTTATCATCAATATCGAAGCATAAAACTATTAAAACAGGATAAATATATTTTCTTTTTGAGAACCCAAGAAAAGAAGCTTCGAAAACAAAAACCTAAATTTGCCATCTGCGTCAGCACCCTGACAATGGGTTAGCACAGGTGGTGGTAGTCAACGAGAGGACAGGTGGGGCCCCTGACCTTTGTGACAGGAGGACAGCCATGACGATGATCTGTGCGGGCACTCAGAAATGTGTCTGGGCTACGGGAAAGGACCAACCCCCCCAAAGGACATTTCCCACAGGGGCAATACCTTTTCAGACCATCAACCCTATTTTCAGCTTCATTTTAGACCCCCTATGTGATCACGCTGATGTATCTCTCCAGCACAGGCGTGAACAGAAGGGAACAGGAGTGAAAGGGAAGAACGTAAATGTTTCTCCACCCTTTTCCTCTGGGCCACCACTGTGGAAATACATTGTACATATGCTGTGTTTCAACTGCGATGGGATAACTGAATAAATACGATAGCAAAAAGGTCAGGAGAACACACAATAGCTTATATCCATTCAGAAAGAAAACATGGCATACATTTACTTTGACCTTTGGATGTTAACGCACTGCTTTTTCACTAACTGGGAAGTAATTTATCTAGAATCTTTCATGTGTCTGGCTTTTAATCTCCATGAAAGTAATAATGAAAAAGCAGGCCAATTCCCTACATGCCTTCTGCAGTTATCAGATTCGATGGTTTTGAAAAGAACTAAAAGCCCTCCACAGTATTACAACTGGCACAGTGCTTATGTGAGGGAGCTTCAAAAGGCTTGTAGAAAAAAATTCATTAACTTTTGTTTTCAAATAGTTTTATTGGCATATATTTCACATTTCATACAACTTAATTGTTCAAACATATTAAGACTTGTACAATCATCACCACAATCAATTTCAGAATGTTTTCTTCTCATACTTGTTGTTAGCTCCTGATTTCCCTCCATCCATGGCCCTAAACAATTATCAATCCAGTTAATGTCTCTATGGATTTACCTATCCTAGATTTCATATCTGAAAAACCACGCAAAACCTAAACTAGAATCAAGCAAACAAACAGCGACAAGACAAAATATCAAGAAACCTCAATTAAAAGAATGCTGAAAATACTAAAAATAAAAAATGGGTCAAAGGTGATTTCCCTCTAACCATGATTGAGGGATGGGAATAAGCCAGTTACCAAACAGAGGGCACTGGAGTGATGACTACAGGAGATCAAAAGTATAGACCTGACTTGCATGGTTAAAACCTTGTGATTTTATCCCTCTCTGATACATACTGGGCCTGGTTTGGTTTTCAACATTCTCTGTTCATTTTTTTTTTCTTTTTCATATTGGAGTTTATCTCTGATGTATTTTGTCATTTTGGGTAGCCCTCTTGAATTTTTGTTATCTGTTTTTCAGTATATGAAACTTAGGATTGATGAACCTTTAGAGACAAATAAAATAAGGGTTCCTTGGGGGATACAGAGGGAGAGGGAGAGGGTAAAGGGGAGCTGATGTCAAGGAGTTAAAGAAGAGAATGCCTTGAAAATGATGGTGGTAGCAATTGTACACTACTGCTTGATGTGCTTGAACTATGGAATGATATATTTGTAATAGCTCCCAATAAAATAGCTTTGAAAAATACAAAAACATAAAAAAAAGGATAAAGTATTACATTGTAACCAGACTGCATCTGTCATAACCAACTTTACAATGTCCTCGGTCTGATGATGGGGCTATTGAGATCCCTGGACAATGGTCAGAGGAGATGAGGTTTTTAGAGTTATCCCTAGCCTTCTGCAAATCTGGTACTCACAATTTAAGCTCTGAAAGCAATACCTCCTTTGAATTTGGAATTTGCTATTTACCATCCTTGGATCACACATGCTGGTGTGTTTCTTTTCCATGTGGACTTAATTACTGCCTCACTTAAATGGCTGCTTGTTTCTAAATACGCTGTTAAGACCCCAGAAACTATTCTTTTTGACATCCAAGCACCATCACCATATTTGGCTATAACACCCTATCTTCAGTGGTCTCTTTGACATAACAGGGAGCAGAGCCATGTCATCAGAAATAATTGTTTAGACTGGGGCTAGAATTAAGTGCAAGCCCCAAATCCATTCATATACCAATGGTTTACATAGGTCTCTGATTCACATTAGAGAACCCTTATCATTTTATAATAGAGAGCGGTATCAATCATCCCCCTGGGGCATACATTATTAATAGTGTCATTCATTTAGCCAATGGTATAGAATTTAAGACACTGTTGAGAAAAGGAAATTATATATAGGCCACCTACAGACCGAAATACAGGCTTTCTTGACAGACTTAACTCAGTGACTAGAGACTCTTTACACAAGCATTAGGGGTTGTGATAGAGCAAAACGTTCAATAACACTCAATAACACAGAAGCAGAATCATGTTCACCAGATTAATACATGTCATACGAAAGTAAGGAGGGCATTAAAATATTAAATAAATGATAGGCCGGGGCCACCATTCCTTGGGCATCCTCAATGCCACAGGATTTGCACCAAAGTCCAATGACCACCAATCCATAACCTGGGGATAGCAGTCCAGTAGCCTATACCACACAGCCTGGGTGCGACACCAGAGGCTGACAGAAACTGCATCCGAAGTGTTCCATAAAGAACAAAGTACCAGGCATATTCTGCCCTTGGGTTCTATAGAAGAACTGTTAAACACTTTTTTTTCCCTCTGGGAAGTTGCTTCTCCCGGTTTACTCACCACCAGTAATGTAACCACCTGTGCAAGACACACATAGCCCCCTCCCCCATCTTGGCTTGAATTCCCAGGAAGGTTTGCTGATCACTCTTGTAGGAGGATCGTTTGATTTGGGGTGACCATAGAACAATGTTGTATGGCAGCAACTGAACAGATTTCTCTCCCTACCCCAACTTGAAAACTTGACCCTAACTGAGTAAGGGGTCCTCTGCCGAAGTGGTTTTTAAGACATACGTATCAAGGGGGTGATATATGGTTCACGGACACTAGGCAGGCACTTTGTTTCATAGATTAGGAGACCAAATTAGAAGACTGTATGAACTGAGAAGTCCTTTCATCTGGGTGCCTTAGCCCTATAGGAGTAAGCTCATCCGGCTTTTGTCTTTGGTGACTAACTTCACTCAGCATACTGGTTTCTGTGTTCATCTATGTTGTGAGGTGTTCCGTGGTTCTATTGCTGTTTGTGTGTGTGTGTGTGTGTACCAGTTTCTTTACTCTTTATCTGTTCTTCTACTGATGGGCTACTGTGCTGTTCCAGCTTCTTGCTCTTGGGAACTGTCAGCAATGAACAGAAGAGAGTATACATTTGATCCTGTTCTGTTTCTTTTCTTTGGGGTACGTGTCCATCAAAAGTATTGCTGGGCCATATGTTTCAGTCAGTGCCCTATCGCTTTCCACAATGGCTGTAGATATTTATAAGCATGCCAGTAGTGTAGAATTCCAATCTCTCTGCACCCTCTCCAGCATTTGGTGCTATGCTTTTTGTTTGTTTTGAATTGGGCTATTGTTGTGGGTTTGAGGGCACATCTCATCCTTTTCATTTGCATCTCCCAGATGCCTAGTGATCTTTAGCATTTCCTTGTGTTTGTTAGCCATTCAAATGTCCTCCTTTTGAATGGTCTACAGTGAACCCTCGCCACTTCGCGCTTCAACTTCCATGGCTTCACTCTATCGCGGTTTTTGCCTAACAGCGCATGCTCTGTCATTACTGCCACTGATTGGCTCATACTGTACACGCTTCTGTCTGCATCACTACGTATCGGAGCTACG